CCCCCCTCTCTCTCTCATGCATGTTTGGGTGGACTAATATTATGACTTTTCGTTTTGCTTGTTTGTTTGTTTGTTTGTTTGTTTATTTATTTGTTTATTTGTTTCTGTTTACAGGGTATGGCAGTTACATCTGTGGTATAGCGGTCAGCCACTTCCCTGTCGCACGTAGAAGAACTGAGTTCGATTTCCGGATGAGGAGAAAGTTTTTATCGAATATCTTGGACTTTCTGCTGGCTTGCTTGTTTGTTTGTATGTTGTTGTTTTTTTGGTAAGTGTTTTAGGGCGCTCGCAACAGCATAAGGTCATATTATGAGCGCGCGGGACACATTTACCATTTTCAGTTGGCAAGAAATTTTGAAATTTTGCCCTGGTGGCGGCCGAAGCCTACTCTTATCGATTTTAGACCACCAAGAGATCTTTAACGTGCGTAACGTGCACACGGGACCTCCGAGATTTTTCGCTCTTGTCCGAGAAGGCTAGGTGTAGATCTTTCCTACCAGAAGGTCAGGAGTGTGGCTGAAAGACAGCGGTAAGAAGGAGCCAAGGAGAAGCAGTAGAAAGGCTGCAGAAAGAGTCAGGAGCCCAGAAGAGGAGGCAACGGAGGCGAGAGGATGGGGGCAGAAAGTGGAGACGAAAACAGACGACAGAACATTGCTAAAGAACATGAAATGAGGTGAAAAGAAACAAGTTTAGAGAAGAAAATTTTTCTATCGGTACCTGGATTCGAACCCGGACCTTTGAAAGAGAGGCGAGTACCTTAGCATCTAGGCCACGAGAGCCCCCTCTGATGCTTGTTGTATCCTCACAAGCCGGAAGGACTCAGACAGGCAGGGTCAGAAGCCCGCCTACACTCTGATCTACATTGAGCTGATGGAGGCGCAAAAAAAATTTACACTAATTTTAAGGGGGGGGGGGGGGCTACACCCCCAAAGTCAAAATTCGGCTCAAATTCATGGAATTGGAGTTGTAGGCATTTTTAGATTCCTCAGTCTCTCATACAACTATTTCATCGCATAAGAACTCCCAAACACCGAATTTTTTCCCATACCGGGCATGTTTGTAACCACCATTTCCTCATAAAGTCAGTATTTTATTATTCTTTATCGGCCGTTTTCTCATAACGCATTTTTTCTCTATACTTTTTTGAATAACTCCACCATTTTTCATCCAATCTTCATGACATTTTCACAGAGTAAAGAGAAGAGATAATACTAAAAGCTTGTCTGTTGAAATTTTCATATATGGAATAGATTTTTGTTGGTGGTGTCTGGAGTGTGGGTTTTCACGGAATTTTTCCCAAACTTGAATGCTACCTCAGGAAAAAATTCATTTCGTTAAGGAAAAAAACAACAGACAAATATTGAGATCTAATGTTTGTGAACACGCATGCAAAAACCCCCCACCAATTTCCATGAGCGATAAGTGCGGTATTCATTACGTAAGACATGTCAATAAAATCCAATATGGCGGCGTATCCATGGAAACGAAACTTTTTTCTCAAATTTGATTGCAGATCTTAAGACTCCTTACTATGCTTGTTATATGAGTGAAATTTGGTAAAATTTTGTCGAGTAATAAGCGTGATAGCCTCCAGGTGTAAGCCCCCCCCCCCCTCCTTAAAAAGGGAGTGTATACAGACCCGGTAGAGGAACTCTTTTGTGATTTCGGAGAGTTTCAGCGCCCTCTTGGCCCAGGGTAGACCTAGGTTCTTCTAGATCTATGGCCTAGGTCCAGATCTAGATCTAGGCAGACAGACATAAATCTTTGATCTAGTTTCGCGGCTAGCCTAGATCTAGATCTAAATCTAAATGAAGATTGCGGATGTCTTTTCGATGAACGATCGTTTTTCCTCCGTTTTGGGGTTGGAGGAATCACAATTTGAAGTAAAGAACAATGTCATAATTTTAATCGAGCAGTCACCCTCTCTATTTCTCTGCCCCCCCCCCCTCTCTCTCTCTCTCTCTCTCTCTCTCTTTCTCTCTCTCTCTCTCTCTTTCTCTCTCTCTTTCTCTCTCTCTCTCTCTCTCTCTCTCTCTCTCTCTCTCTCTCTCTCTCTTTCGCCTTCTCTTTTTCTTTGTTTGTCTCTGTCTTTCTCCCCCCCCCCCCCACCTATTTCCCACTCTATCTTTCTCTCGTCTCCTCCTGCCAACTGGGGCATGTCACATTTTGCTAGCACCTCTCTCTCTCTCTCTCTCCCCCCCTCTCTCTCTCTCTCTCTCTCTCTCTCTCTCTCTCTCACACACACACACACACACACACACACACACACACACACACACACACGATTTTTACCGGGTCTAGGCGCTGAAACTTCCCGACATCACTAAAGAGGTCCCCTACCGGGCCTGTATACTTCGTGACTTTGTTCCCGGTTACCGGGTCTGTATACACTTCATTTACCCCCCCCCCACAAAGTTACATAGACAGAAACAATACCATCACTCAAGAAGAGAGCACACCTGAAGACGATTTATTGTGTCACAACGCGGTAGAATCTGGCGCTTCTCACTTTCCGGGCGGAGCAAATAGAGTTAATGACATTATTATGTTGATCATTCTTCGTTTTCTTCGCTTTTGATGAACCATGAACCCCCCCCCCCTTCCCCTCACGTCTTCCTTGAATAGAAGTTGCGATATTTGAGATTGAAGGAGGTTGATATCACCTGTTGTCAGAGGTAAAATTAACGAGAACATGTCTGCCAAAGTTTACTGACTTCCAAGCTCGAGTCTCCTAGGAAACTGCAACTTATTTACTTTTTCGTGTCTCTGATCAACGATCTTCAGAAAAAAATGAGCTTTGAAAAGAACATAAAATGTGTTGGGGAAAAAACCCAGATAATTATTGCCCTGCAGTAGGTAAAAATATTCTTCAATATTTTCTTCATTTCGACGAGCGCCTTATTCCACCGCGATGCGCACTTTTTATTTTCCAATAAGCAAAAACTGCTGAAAGAAAATGTTTCTTTTTAAATTCTTTTACATCTGGAGTACTTATAGTAACTTGAACGGGCAATTGATACATCTCAGTAAGGGACCTATCGTCATGGGAAAAGCAACAAGACTCCAATCTGGATCTGAAACGAACAGGAATTGATGTGGCGTGTTAATAAATGTATGAAGATATAATCGCATAGGGGTTTTACAAAAAAAAAAAACGTTAGCTACTAAAGCTTCTTTTAAAACTTAAAACTTGAGATAAATAAATGTAACTTTTCACCCTTTGTAAAAGATTACTCTTCATTGTGACAAATAGAATTGTATCCTAGTTGTAAAAAAACTAATGTTTATGGTGTAAACCCCAAAAAATAAAAAAAATAAAAAATAGTACAATTAGATTTTGGTGACTGCAGGATGGTAGTGGGGGGGGGGGGAGGAGAAGGAGGGGGTGGAGAGGGAGAAGGGGGGGGGGCAAATGGACCAGTTATTAGTGAGCTCTGTCTAGAGACTAATGAGTGTGGTTTGTTGGTCAGTAGAGTATTTTCTTGCCTCACAGGAATCAGTTCAGATAGTTTAATAGTAGGCTGTTCTCTAGTCTTTGGAAAAAAAAGAATTTAGGTGGTTTTACAGTAAAGTATTCTCTTGCCTTACAATAGTTTAAGTGATTATTACAGTAAGCTATTTCTTGTTTCAGGAATAATGAGTTTAAGAGGTTTTACTGTAAGGTATTCTCTTGCCTTACAATAGTGTAAGTGATTATTACAGTAAGCTGTTTTTTTATTTCACAAATAACTAGTTTAGGAGGTTTTACAGTATTACTGTAAGGTATTCTCTTGCCTTAAAATAGTGTAAGTGATTATTATTATAGTAAGCTGTTTCTTATTTCACAAATAATAAGTTTAGGAGGTTTTACAGTAAAGTTTTTTTTTTGTCGCACAATAAATAGTACGTTTAGGAAGTTTTGCACTGGGTGGTAGGTAGGCGGGTGCTCTGGTGTGGTTTGCTTCTTCTTTCCTATCAAACATCTATCATCTTTATCACCTGTCCTTCTTTTTTGTGTTTGTTACTCTCTTGTAACACCTCTAATCTTCGGCACTTATATGACCTTATTGCATTGCAAGTGCCGTAAAACACTTACTAAAACTAACTAAGACGTTATGCAGAGGCTGTTTTCTTGTCTCACAGGCAATGCGTTACGCTGGTTGGCCGTTAGGGTCTTTACTTGTGTTTATAATAATATGTGAAGGGTGCTGACAAAATGAGTTATTTCTCGGATTGGAGACCTATGGAAACAGATACGTCACGGTTATACATGTAGGTGACGTTTTTACAATTTATAAGTATGAAATAATAAAAGGCTTCTTATACATGAAAAATATGGCATCAACAGAAAAATCTACAAATTTGGTCCTAATGTCGATTTTTGGCAAATATCTTCATTTGCGGATTGCGAGAAGTAACTCATTTTGTCACATATGCAGGGCTTGAAATAGACCGCGGCACCGCGGCAATTTGCCTTGGTGCCTTTGTCCTGTGCGGTCTCTTGTGGAAAAAAAAGAAAAAGTTCTACAAGCGTCTTGTCGGGTTCGCCACCGAGGCAGGTCAGTGAACCTGTGCGTTGGTATCACAACTTAATCACAAGATACGGCGTCGTGTGAGCACTGGTTGTTGGGGTCACCAAAGTTCATTCAAAGTCTGAACACCGAGAAGTATGGGACTCCTAAATGGGGGGAATTATTGAATTTTTAATTTTTAAGATACACGCGTGGGAGGGCGGGGTATGGAGAAATCCTGTCAGACTTGTCTGAAATCTCATCAAAGCTACAGTCTGACACTGCCCAGCTTGACAATTGTGTCCATTTTGTCATGGCTAGTGCAAACACACTCACGGCAATGATAACCAGACCTCAGCAGTAGTGTCTGAAAAAAGCTCTGGATGAAAAAGAAGGCTGCAGATGTGAGCGATGTGGCAAGAGATGTGTCTCTCAACTTATAGACGTCCTGATAAAACAACACTATTCTCTGAAATCTTCTTCTCTGGTGATACTTTTTAGAATCCTTTGTTTTTTCCCATAAGGGACCAACAGTAAGCCGGTCTTTTTCTATATTGTGTGTGCCAACATATTTTCAGTATTCTGATCTTATCTAGTCATAAGTCATAATATGACATGCTGATTGATTAGGTCTTTTTTATATAAACATACATGTGTACTTTAAAACATGTATTTTCAAAACTTGTTTCCACTTATCATAGTCAGAACCTCACACTGTTTAACTGCTTGACAGCAGTTTTTAGTTATTCATTCTTTTTCCCCCCATACAAATACAAGTTCATAAGTTGTTTTCACTCCTCATTTTTTTCCATACAAGTTCAAAATGTGTTTTCATTTACCATGATGTGTTTTTATTTTATCACTACACTGCCTGTAAAGCATTCTGTTTGAATCTCAAATGATTAATGTCTTACCTAATTGGTCATATTATTTACTGTTTTTTTTATCGTACCCTATTGTCAAAAGTCATATTCATTCATCTTAATCCAATCAATAAAAGCTAGATAATCTAGTCATGAAGGCATTTAAAAGTTAGATGCAATCGTGATCATTATTTGATTTAAAACTGATTATTTGTGACTTTGTTTTGGTGTGATTTTACTGTGATCTACTTAATTTTCCTTCATGGTTTAACAATTTTTCCGATAACTCTATACTTTTGTAGTGAGCAAGAACACATATAATTGCTATTTCTATAAAGGTTGTGATGCACGATCCAGTATTACCAACTTTAATCAACAAAATTATCACCTATCAGGCTAAGGTGTTGGCTTCTCAATCAAAGGTCCCGGGTTCAAATCCGGGTAGTGACCGAAACATTTTCTACTCTAAAATTGTCTCCTTTCATGCTCTCTAGCACTGTTCTGTCGTCCACTTTCGTCTCCACGTCCTGCCTCCACCTCTCACCTCCTTTGCCCCCTCCTGATTCTTTCTGCAGCCTTTCTACTGCTACTCCTTGGCTCTTTTTTACTGCTGTCTTTCAGCCACACCCCTGATCTTCTGGTAGGAAAGATCTACACCTAGCGTTCTCGGACAAGGGCGAAGAATCTCGGAGGGCTCGTGTGCAAGTTCCGCACGTTAAAGATCCGTTAAAGATGGTGGTCTAAAATAGATAAGAATAGGCTTCGGTGGCCACACGGGCAAAAATTAAAAATTTTCCTATCAACTGAAAAAGTTTAATGCGTCCCGCGCGCTCATATGACCTTATGAAGTTGCCAGCGCAGTGAAACACTTACAAAAAAATAAAAAGCGTTACCGCAAAATACCAAAAGAGGGCAGGTTGGATGTGGTAGGAAGGACTGAAAGCGGGGGGGGGGGGGTCAGAACACGCCTAAACTCTCGGTTTAAGTCAAAGTTAGGGGGAGAAAAAAATCCAGGCAAATGCATTACCCTGTCCTATGTGCCAGACCCAACTGGAAGACTGTTCACTCCCGGAGGAAAACCGAAGTTTTCTTCCATCTGTAAATACAAAAACATGTTTTAGCGCTTACAGAAAACATCTTCTAGTGTAGTAGGTGCACAGTAACATAATGTGTCTCGTAGGAGCCGAAGAAGCTTGTAAAGTCACTTTTGTCTTGATAGAAATAAAAACGAACAGTTAAATTTTCTTCCAAAGAAATAGTGCACTGGCTGACTGTTCATTCAGTTTCTGGACAAATTAATTTCAAGAACATAGAACACTTGACAAAATTATTAGAACCGCACAGGGATTATTATTATTTTTTTTTTAATGAGAAAAAAATTGAACACAAAGGTTTGTTCGCTTTTCTTTCCTACATTCAGTGTAGAGCTGCCTGTAATCCTTTCATTCAATTTCTTAAACAACCTTCCTTAGTTGTAACAGAGCTCAAGATTTGTGTCAAAATACACTGTCTTACCTTGGATCTTTTCTTTCGACGAAGCGAATTCAGATCCAACTGTGAAAAAAAAAGATCAAACTAAGATAGAAGTCGTAGACGCAATTCTGGTGATAGTAGTAATAATAATAATAGTACTTGTTTGTGGGTGTTTGTGTGTTTATAGTGTTATAGTAGTGTGTATATGCTGTAATAACTAGCTGCCCGTGTGCCTTCAGCATGACAACCTGGAGCTGAAGTCCCAGTTACATGTAACGATTAATTGTACAAAAACTGGAAGATTTATCGATCTTGAGACAAATCATCAGGTGTAACCACAAAATTGTTCAAAGTTTAGATGTTTGGATGATGGCTTGGAGACTCGGTCGAGAAATCAAGCACTGCTTGATATTTTTCGTGCGCTCACGGTCAGATTTGGGGGAATGCGCTGTGATGTAGAATCACTTTAAAATTTGCCGCCACGCAGGATTTAACTTAGAGCTCAACATTTAAAAAATAATAATCGCAGGTAAAAACTGATTTCATATTCGGAATCAGCATCTCAAAATAAGCAAAACTGTACCTGATTTGATGCGTTATTATGTGAATTTTAGCAATTTTATTATTTAGTTCATCGTCAATGGTGAAGTTGTGTATCAAGGTCACCCGGTGCGTTGCACATCTGCAGTCAAGTCAATGACTAGGAATCTCCCTGATCGAAAGAAAACTGGACGATAGATTGGAACGTCTAAACAGACTACACAGCTCATTAAAATGGAAAGTTCTGGCATACGACGAATCTGACACAATTTATCGTTGCGTGTAACCGTGGCTTTAAGGCTTTGAAAATATTTTGCTTTCGACTACCACTACACCCACAACTGCTTGACGACCATCTTGCTGTCACTACGATCTTGGAAACATATCTGTCAGCTAAATAGAGATCAAAATAAAAATGATTAATTTCACATTATTGATCCCTCTGAGTAAATGCATGAACAATATGCTGTATCACGAATTGTCACGAATACTACCTAGTGGGTTAGCCTCACGACCCCATTATATCAAGTACTCAGGCTTATTCCCTGCATTAAATGACAGTTATTGTGTAAATGTGCTTCTGTTTACTCAAACAAATGAACAAACAAAATAATGATGAACATAACTTTTTTGAGTGCGTTGTCAAAGGTAGAGAACCTATTTTTTGTTAACCCACTAGCTGTTGAGCAAGGACCATGTTGGAAATTAGCTGGTTTCCTCTATATATTCTGCTTGTAAGTCTTCTGATTTTTTCTTGCTTCCTTGTGAACAGTTTGTGATTAAAATTTATCAGACTGCTGTTGAACATGCGGGAATTAATCTTTGTCTTTGGAGGGTGCCACTAGTAAATTCAAATAATAATGATAGCAGTAGTAGTTCATCTGTCAAAGTCTGATGATGACCAGTGCATCAGCAGAGGAGAAAGGATTAAGATGACTCGTGGCTTCTGCTGTTGACGATGAGACCAACTCTGGAAGAGAAGAGTTTGCCACACTTTTGGGCAATAAAAAGGTTCCATTTCCACATTAATATGAATTCAGTAAATTCTACTTATTATCTTTATTATCCCCTGTTTTGTTCGATAGCTGTGTTATTTTTGTCACTGACACTAAACAATTGTTCTCATGACGATGTGCTTTTCTTTAACCTGAAACAGCAAAAGGAGTCATTTTAAGTTTTGTCCACATTCGCTGCCTAAGGGAATGCTCTGGTGAAAGTTGTAAATTGAATTGAAATACTCTACAGTAAAACAATGTTATTAAAGTATGATTATGAAATAACCTGTGCCATTCATAATTAAACTGACTTTAAAGTGATCATTTACCATTACTTTTTCTTCCCTGAAAAAAAAAAATCCTTTTAACTCTACAAATGAATTGTCTCGTGACTGAAAGGACCACTGCTGAAAGAGATTATCTACAACATGAAAAATGCAAGCGGGGAATCATCACCTTCTCCAAGATTCTATATGTACTCCGCTGTAAGTATGTTGCCTATGCAATAATATATGATGTACCACATGGCTCAGTTTATAGATTGCCAAAGTATAGACTTTGCACTCTGACCTTAAGAAGAAATTTTGAGCATTATGGAACTTTACAAGTTAACAGTCTGGGAATGTAATTCTGTTGATAGAAAAATAAATATTGGTTTTCTTTTCCTGTCAAAGTGTGGTCATTTATGAATGATCATTACATTTATAACTTGATCAAATACCGATCCAATCTGCGTGACGAATATGTTTCTATTTTTCTCCTGTAAAATAACTTTTTAGCCTTGTTTTTAGTAATTCATATGCTTGCCATAGAACTTAACAATTATTTCAAGTTAATGATTTAAAGTATTAATTGTTTGTTTGCATTTCGTATTGCTTACACCATTTCAAGATGAAATGTTTGGGTATATTTTTAAAAAGTGTGGATTGATATTCATGTAGAATAAATGAGAGTGTTTTAGGAATATGGAGGGAAATAAAATGTGCCATAGTGAGAGTAAGAATTAATCTATTTGCAGTAAAATTGTTCTTTATAATTTTGTTAGACTCCTATAATATCTGTAATAATAGTGTATATTTCGGCCATGAAATTACAGAAATGACAGTCGTTCTTTGCGCCTCACAATTGGTACTTTGGTATCGATTTATTGTGGATTAAATTATATGTACTTGAATTTCTTGCTGTTACGGTACCAACGAATGCAATGTAAGGTTGCTCTTTAATTCAATGTGTAATGAAGGCTGTTGCACTTGTGGTTTACAGCATGATACGACAGTTGCAGCCTTCCTGAGCGCTATGCAGGTGTTTGATCTCCACCAGCCCATGTATCGTGCCCTGGTCATGGTGGAGCTGCATCACATTAACGACCAACATGTGGTCAAGATTTTCTACAGGAATGAGACCACTGCAGATCCCTATGAGCTTTCCCCGCCAGGTACGGTTTTATCTCACTGTATTGTATAATTTTTTTTCTACTTTCTGCAAGGAAATTTCGGCTTGCAGCAGCATGACTTTTCTCATAGCATCATGCAGGATGTGGTTTTCACTCAGAATATAGTTTTTCACAAACAAGAAGAGAAACGTTCTTTGTGTCTGCATTCCACTTTTAGACAGAGAGAGCTCACAAGATTCCAATATTGGTGATGCTGATGCTTGAGAAAGGGCAGTGTTTACCTTTCAGGATTTACAGGAAACATGTTCAAGCAGACTGAATTTATGGAAAACCAGGAACGGTGGTATAGCCAACTTTTTTAACTGGGGTCGGGTAGAAAGGACACAGCTCAGATGTTACCAGTTTTATTTTGATCTACAATAAAAGAGACATATTGCTCCTGCTGCTCTTAACAGATGTCTGTTTCATAACATGGGACAACTAAAGGATGTAACCTAATTACTCCTCTGCCTATTGCATATGAAGAAAGGAGAAGAGTTTGAAATTCTATCTTGTTGGCCTGTGTTTTGTGATAGTGTACTGTGTGTGTGTGGGTGTGGTAGTGTGTGGGTGTGCTATTGTGTGTTTTTTTGTATTTTTGTACGCCTGTAATGTTTATGTGTAATGTCACAGTGAGTGTATATCAGGTCATAGTATATCGTTATATGTGTGTTGTCCTCCTGAGTGCTATTGTGTCATGGCAGTGAATGTGTATTGCTTCATAGTCAGAGTTGGTAATTTGAAATCATTATTAGAGTCAAGTTGGAAAAAGGGAAGAGAATTGATATCCCTTTCGGTGCGGAATAATTTCAGGCAATGCCGGGTTCTTTGCTCATGTTTTTTCAGGCTGTAAGAATCCTTGCACTCTGGACTCCTTTATCGAGGCTACCAAGGCGACAGTCCCTGAGGACTGGGAGAAAGAGTGCCAAGCTCTGAATTCCTCTGCTTCCCACAAGCTCTCTCCAGGTAAATATTCTGTCATCACATTGGAGCTCCAGGAGGGAGTTTGGTTATAAATGGAGATTTTTTTCTTTTTGTGTTTCTAATAAAATGATATTGGTTGCTGTAGCTTTTTTTCCCCTTTGTGGTGTACCTTTGTTTGCTATCTCTTTGATTGATATTGACAGTATTGTCTTCCCATTTGGTCAGCTTGGCTTAGAATTCCGATTTTGGGAAGTTTTTACATTTTTCTACCCCTTTTTTTAGAAGATCCCTGTGAATTTGTCAAGCAGTCTAAATGCAGGACTTATTTTCCCTTTTTTCTTTTTTCTTTTCATTCTTTGACTTTTTGAGTGCATGGTGTAAATTCGTTCCTTTGTCTGATATAGGATATTTGATATTGTGTCCCCCCCCCCCCCCCGACCCTCTCACCCTGTGAGCTGGAGGGATTTTTACTTCGGTATATCCTCTGTGCCCTCTTTCTTCTCCTTTACTCTTCCCACTGGGCTAAGTGTGGCACCATTCTGTGTCTAACATGTTAACAAGGCACGATAAAAAAACTTTATAAAAAGCTGATATTTGTCCCTTGTGCCTTTCTTAATCCATGTTTCCTTCTCCCTATTTGCTCTGTGCATGGCAAGAATGTCTTCCCAAACCATGCTGGTTTTGGACATGCCCATTGTGGTGCAAAGTTGGCTTCGAACTCCCATGCCTGCCGTCCGTGCATACTGGTGATGGAAATTTGCTGATGATAGGGTGTTTTTATCATGGGGTTTCTGTTTTTTTCTATTACTTGTTTCTCCACGAGGTTTTCAAAGTGAAACTTGAGTGTAGGTTCTTCCTCTTACAGTTATACAAAAAATATGTTCCCACTGTTAAATTATAGTGCCCCCCACATGTCAGTGCATACTTTTACTATACATGTACTTTCCTCAAATGTGAATTAACTAGTCAGCTCATATATCTTAGACACACGCTTTAATATTGTTGATATGAACATCTCTTCTTGCATTCTGTGATGGAGTTGCAAATTAACCCCTTGACTGCTGTGCTTGAGACTTGTCTCCGGCTCTTTGGCAGGATTGAGGAGTGGGTCCGGCAGTGAAACGGTACAGAGATTATTGCAAAAAAACAGCAGAAAGCAACTAACAATATTTTCTGTTCTGTTCTCATGAAGAGCATAGAGGTTGACAAAAGTTCAGCCTGAATTCATATCACTGTATTTGGGATTGCATTAAGATTCTTACTGGTTCTTATACAAAGTATTTTACTCTAGTTATTTTGTTTTTATTCAATCTATGTGTGGAGAAATATAAGAAAAAGTAGCATATCTGTTTGTATGGATTCAAGAAAAGAGAAAGATCGTTTTTGTTTTGTGCCCACCTTTGAAAAATGTGGCTTTTATGTTAATATAAATGAGGCAAGAATTTTGGGATGCGAAATGACTAAAGCCTAACGTAGGCGAAATTCCAAGTTCTATGAATACGAAGTGAAAAAATTTTGACAATTATGGACATTTTACCTCCCGTTTTGAACAGAAACATTATAAACTTGCCCTGACTGCTTGCAAAAATTATATGTGAGGCAGCGTGGTGAAATGAGGCGCTCGCCAAAATAATGAAATCAAAGAAACCAGCATTTTTCTGGCCATTCGCCAAATTGTTTCGAAATTTTTTGTTTTTTTTTGTTTTGGCAACACATTTGATGTCCCTTTAAAAATACTTTGCTGTACGTCTTTTTCTTTGAAACGTTAATTAAAGGCACAAGAAATGTAAATTTACAGTTTCCAAGGACTCTCAAGCTTTGGAATTTACCAAACTTTGGCAGCCATTTTCTAGCAAATTTACCCCTGAAACCAGACGAACTTTACCTTCTTCAATCGCAAATATCTCAACTTCTATTCAAGATGGATGGGTATTTTTAATCTAAAGCGAGGCAAATGAACAAGCTTTCAGATGATACTAATAACTGTACGTACCCAAAAATTGACGAGCGCCTGATTCCACCGCGTCCTGACACATATCAGCGTGTTCTCTTGAAATTCCTCTTACACTTCCGAACTTCATATATTTATTGAAAGAAAAGTGAAGCAAGTTAATAATAAAATAGATTGTTGTCAGACTTTGATAAAGGGTAGTACAACAAGGCTTTTGAGGGAGTTGCATACTTTAAATAATTTGAACCAAAGGTTTCTAAAATAGTTTATTGTCAGGTTTTGACAAAGCGAAGTACAAAAAGACTTTTTAGGGAGTTGCATACTCAAAACAAAGGTGATTTCTACTTAATGCTCAATCTGTTTACTGAGATTCAGTTCTGCTAACCTGGCTGGACTCCTACTATTTGGTTCTGCTTAATCTTTTAAACATGAATAGTCCTTGAAATTTGAAAGCATTAATTTTGAAAAATTATTGATATATATGTACTGAAGATGAGTTCATCTTGTCGACCAATTCCTTTCCCAAGAAGACACCCCCCCCCCCCCCCACCCCACAATTTTTTTGTGGTTGAGACTTCAGAGGGTCTGACAGTTTCACTTTTAGTGTCAATTGCTTTACTTCTTTGTTCAACATTGTCCCAATGTCGAGCTTCTACCATATATTAGTGTGTGACCCCATCAACTCATGCTTCAATACATTAATTTGCCACTGGTGTCTGTGGTGTAGGGGTTAGGGGCTTGGCTGTCACATCAAGGGGGCGTGAGATCAACTCTCAGGGGGGAAGAATTTTTATCAAGGATTGCTGTTTTTCTGCTGGGAAGTTGTGTTTCCCTCAGCCCAGGTTGGCCCTGACAGGCAGGGTTGAAGCAGCCCGCCTCTTTAACGTTCTAAATCGTGTCGTCGGAGGCGGAAAACTTCTACTATTACATACCTTAATTGAATTTGCCAGTTGGCAAGTAATGTAATTGAACAATCAGACACTTGAGCTGAACTTTTGATTATTCTTTTTTAGTAAGTTCTCTCCTAATCCGAGGAGTTGCCATAATCAGCATGTTCATGGCAGTAACTTTCCTCTGAGCGTGGGTATCCTTCCACTTTTTCCCCGCTTTCTGTCTATGTGGCTTGAAATGCTTGTTTTGTATGCTATAGAATATTCCCTTCCTTGACACCCCCCCCCCAAAAAAAAATGTACCTCTGCTCTAATGACTTTGGTACAGTGGAGTCCACTTATAACGAGTCCGGAAAAAATGAGAAGTCTGTTATAAAGACACTATTCAAAAACCCCGTTTTTTCTCTTCTTTACCTTTGTAAATAAAATACAGCTATTGCGCAATCAGACAAACGCACGAGTAGGTTATAGCGGATTATTGCTGCTGCTGTGCGCAGCGCATGGGTCAATTATACAAATGTAAAACCTCGCCAGTTGAGAAACTAGTTGGCGAACTAGCGAAACAAAGAATGGGAGAGCCCATGTGTGTTAACAATGAGTGCCGGAACAACTGACTAGGGAAGGTGTGGCATGCGCAGACAAGCAGAACGCATCACGTGATAGGCCAGCGCAAGCCTAGTTTAGATTATCAAGGCCTACCATGCATCTCACTTTTCCGATGCGGGGATGGAGAAGTCATAGCAATGTGATGGATAGAGCGAATGTGTGACGTGCGCAAGCTGATGGAATGCACCACAGGGTGTGGTGGGGTGGGGGAAAACACAGCGGGTGAGTTAGCCCAGAGCCCTTTCTTTCTGATCGCCAACGCCGAGCTGTCAGTCAACATCGCTTGATCTAGTGCTAGAAAAAGAAACTTGATTCGATTTTTGATCAAGTAAGACCTAGAGGTCATGTTGAAACAAAATCATCATCAGCGGAGATAGCAAAAGGAAATAAACAGAACACCAAACTCATAGATTAGGCCTATTTATAGTTTACCCTTGAATTTATTACTGGATCCCTTATAGCGAGAATCCTGCTATAGCGGTCATTTTGCTCCGGTCCCCTCCCCCTCGTTATAACAGGATTCCACTGTAGTGAAGTTTACAAAGTAGCTGATAGTATGCAAAACCCAAGGTTGGAAAGTGGATAATTATGGTGGGCCACCAACTTTCTGGCCTATTTTCTTCGTACCTTATTATGTCCTCTCTCTTTTGTGGGTCTATCAACTGAGGTCTAGCAAAAGATGAACCCCAATAATCCCACATTTCTGTGCCTACCTTGTGTATGACTATGAGTTGTAGGGTTTTATAGTCCTAAAAGAAAAGAAGTTTGCAAATAGATGCTCAAATAGTCTAGGGAAGGCATTTTTTGCTTTTTGCCTTCTTGTACCCAAGCAAGGAACAAATCTGTATGATTCAGGTCTTCAGCTTTATTGCTAGTTTCTTTTTGTTTCACTAGTAAATTTTTCTATTCCGTATGATGAAGCAATATGTATTTATTGGTTACGGCTCTTATTCCCTCGCTTCCCCCCTCCCCTTTTTTCCACATGTTTTTATTATTCTTTCATCTTTGCTTAATTTTGTTGTATTTGTGTCTTATGTGAAGAGGAGCATTAAGACTAATGACAATGAAAGATTCAAGAGTTTGAGAATGTGTAGTAATATATTCTACAGAGTTATTTGATGCCCTACATGGTATATCTTATTGCCTGTATGATCTTTAAGGTGATATTGGCCCTTTGGTAGTGTAGCCTACACTCTGCATTTTCTGCTAAAGAAGGAGGGCAATAATAATTATATTTTTACCTGAAAATGTGACTCCCCTCTTCGGTGAACTAAATTTTGGATCTTGTGGGTTTTTTAATACAGGCAAACAAAGTGGTTGTTGAACAACATTACTTTCATATTGTACGTACCTATTTTGCTACAGGTACCTATATCTGTTTATTATCTAATATGGTTTCAACAACCTGGGGGTAACCCAGTTTCTCAATTTACTCTATGAGTAGAAATAATCCTTATTTAAATTCTCTTGAGTCCACTTGGTACAAGTACCGCAAGCTTTTTTCCAGTCTTTAAATCCTTATTGACACATGAAATTGACAGAATGTTTGACGGGTGGTTGGAGGGCGCCACTGATAGGTCATATTTCTTTACTTT